GCCCTGACAAACGTATTCTGCTTCTGTGTGATTGTATCCCGTGTCTGTACCTTTCAGAACATCTAATTGGTTGAATCTAATAGGCTTAGCACTGTAACCTACAGCGTTAAATTTGTCCAGCGAGATTATGATGGATGAATCCGAGGGACTGTCACTGGATCTCCGGGGAGGGAGACTGAAGCTTAGTGAATCATTTGTGATATGTAAAAGAGGTCCTGTGGGGCCCCGATTTGGGGGGGGGGGGGGGTTGAGTGTATGACGTACATGTGCAAATTAAAAAAAAAGGTGTACGCGGTCAAAGAGTGTGTGTGTGTTGTACAGAACTCATGTTCTTGGGTTGTGTGTGTGGAGATTACATCAGGAGATGGTGTAAGGCTGTTTACAGAAGGTCACAGATGAGAGCAAGGCAATTTGAGGCTGGAAATGAGTGATGTCCTCTCTCATTTAGACAGCACATCAACCAAAGCGTCTCACACACTGGCCCTTCTTACACATTACACATGCAATAGCCGAATCAAGAATATCTAATAATCAGGGACAAAAAGCTGGAGAGATGGAGAGGCACAATGTAACAAGTACATATGACCAAAAGTATGAGGACACACTTGTAATTAATGGGTTTGGCTACATCCATTACAAGAAATTTCCAGCATACAGCAATCTCAGAAATGATCATGGAGCTAATTTCTCTTCCAGCATGACAATGCCATCGCACACAAAGAGCTACCCATACAAAAAAAAAAAAAAAAAAAATTGGACTTTGCCTGGACAAAGCCCAGACCAAAACCCCTTTGGGCAACTTTGTGGAAAAATAGGAATACTGACCCTCCAAAAATAGGACAACTCATCTGCGTTTCCACACCAAATGCTGTCTAGAATAAGAATGTCTCTCCCTCTGACAAGCAAGAAGACAGTAAAGCGTGATTCACTAAACTAAGAACAATTTGTCCTCTCATATTATTTAACTGTAAATACAGCAGAAAATACCCAAACCAATAAAATTGAAACAATTTTTAAAATCAAAGATCATCCTTCAGGGGTCACCCTTAGGAAAGACGTGCTGAAATGCCCTCAAATTCTAGCGATGAAAAGATTTATAATCACACAAATTGACTCCTGAAGCCAATACAGGGAATGCAATCAAAAGTACCTCTTAAAATAAAGTAGAGGAGATTTAACAAAAAAGATTACAACTCTACTATTAGTAGTAAATGTGTTGTATCGGGTTTTGTATTTTCAGAATAAAGTGTTTTTACCGCAGCACCACAGTAACACTAAGAGAAAGGTGTGAATGTACTTGCCCACAGGTGGAGGAGAGAGAAGAGAAGAAAAGGGAAGCATTAACTCTGTTCATCGTGGGAAAAGAAGAACCTATTAAAGAAAAGAAGCCAATTATTCACAGTATCACCTTGACATGACACATCATAGATATACATATTGTCATATATGTGTGACCGCTGGACCACAAAACAAGTCGCACAGATATATTAGTGGCAATAGCCAATATACTTTGTGGGTCAAAAAGATCAATTTTTCTTTTATGCCAAAAATCATTAGGATATTAAGTAAAGATCATGTTTTATGAAGATAATTTGTAAAAAAAAAAAAAAAATAGCGTAAATATATAAAACGTTTATTTTGAGGATCGCGAACATAAATGGACAACTTTGTTGCATCCTCAAATAGTTGTATCTCTTTCAAATATTGTCATATCCATATCATATTATTCAGCTTTCAGATTTTTCAGGTTTTGTGGTTTATGCCGAGTTCAGACTGCACGATTTTAGCCACGATTTTGGCTCGCAGTCAGGTATTGTGAAATCGCCGACAAATGCCCGGAATCACATGCAAATCGGTGCTCAATCACGCAGTGTGAATGAGCAAAAATGCGATCTGAGAGAATCGCAGACGCCCGTGAGATATTTGGCATGCTAAATATCTGGACCTGTCGCCGATTCAAAATCTACAAATTCTACATCGGCGATTACCGACAGCCAATGAGAGAGCAAGATACAGAGCAGTGGGGAGTTCGGGGAGGAGTTATACTTTTATTTTACAAATAAAACAATTGACTCTAAGTAATATGACTGCAAATGCAACATTTATTATTTTTTTAAATAAAAGGGTGAAGGTGTAGAGAATGAAAATTAATTGCATTCATAACCCATATTTTATACCCCAAACAGAAGTAATGGTCTCTTTTTTTTTTATGGCGGACGTTTACGGTTTAGTTTATAACCAGTAAAAATGCGAAAACATTTCTGAAGTTATTAAAATGGCCTTGATTCCTTTCAGAGGACAGAACATGGCGGTTAAAAGAGGACGAGAAAAAGAGAGACGCATGTTGATGGATTAGTAACAAGCCTTCGTCCCACCATGTACAAGAGCAGCCTGCAGAGTCTCACAATGACGCTCATATATAGGAAGAGTCAGAGTGTGTGCGTGTGTGTTTGTTGTGTGTGAATGCCATGGCACCCTTTTGTCATCAAAGCATCCACACACACATTCAGCTCTCTGCATTACGCCTCTCAACCACCTGCACCGAGAGAGTGTGTAGACAAGAGAAGAGCAGCCAGCTGGTCAGATATCTACGGTAAGAGTCCAGATCCAGTGATCAATCAAGCCTCATCATTCAGCAGCAAAGCCCACCTGCCTTCCCTCAGTATCACACTGACAATCCACAAACTGCACCTCGTCTCTCTCATTTTCTATTAGACCAGCACACATTGTTTCCCACCTGAGTCATTCTAATATTCAAGAACACATAAAAACAACTTGAAGACATCCACCCCTGATGCTTGGATGGACAAACACACACACATATTCTCTATGTTAGCTGTGCGTTCGCTCTAATCTCATTGTCTCATAGGGTACAGGGTGATGATGGCGCAGTGGATAAGGCACATGCCTTTGGTGTGAGAGACCCAGGTTCGAATCCACTGAGACACCAATGTGTCCCTGAGCAAGACACTTAACCCCTAGTTGCTTCAGAGGCGTGCAACCTCTGACATACATAGCAATTATAAGTCGCTTTGGATAAAAGCGTCAGCTAAATGAAATGAATAAATGTACAATAAATGTTCATGTGAATAAATGTACATGAATAAAAGCATCAATAATATTTACAGTATTTACAGTCGTAACATGGATTTCAGAGTGATTTTGTGTGTGAAGACAGATAGAACGACAGAATGATAGAAAGAAAGAAACAATGATAGATAGAATAGTAGATAACTGGATCGAGAAATCCATGAAGTACAGCTAGATCAGCAAGATAATCAATAGGATAGACAGACAGATAGATAGACAGATAAAACGATGGATGGACAGACACTTATAACCATTTTATAAGTTTCAGTGTTTTTGAGAGCTGAAGAGTGTGTGCAGTGTGATCTGCTCTCCTGCTGCTAATGTCACATGTAGACTGATAGACTGACTCATTAGACAACAGCACTAATATAATCAGCCAAATAGGGACTAATACACACTGCACAGACAACACACTAGGGGGTTGTCACACCAAGAACTGGTGCTAAACTTTTTGAGGACTAGATAACGCTGATTGGCTCAGGGACACAACATGCACCAATCACAGAGACAATACGGCAAAGACGTAAATTAACAGATCTCAACATATCATACTTGCGTTATTTTGGACTTTGGGACATCAAGCGAATGAATCATCACAACATCTAAAGTATAAAAGTGGATTAAATGTAACAATGTAAAAGTAATGACACCATACCAGACATAGACACAATTAAATACCAATTAATCCTACAAGTGAAACATACATAATTTCACATTTTACAGCATCCAGGCAAGATCTGCTAGGCTAAGGACTAAAACCAAGAATAACATTAACATGGCTCGATGTACAGTCTCATCAAATTTGCGTATATTGTGAAAACAATGATAAACTTACACCAACTTTGTATTTTTGATTTGAAAAAAGTTCCGAAACATAAAATCTTTGTCTTCAGAAATAATAAATTTATGGGTGATTTAATATGCACCGTTATATTTCGATTCGAAATCTTATTGTCTATCACTTAGCCCGAATGAAAGCTGCAAATATTTGCAGTACGGTACGTTATGCAAGTGTGTATCGAGAGACACAAAGATTTAATTTAGAGCACATAATGAGAAAATTATTCCCGCCCATGTAAGGACAAATATTCATAATTACACTTTCCAAAAGAGAATATAAAACAGGGGAGGAGACACCCAGAGAAACGAGATTTGAGGAAAGAAAACAAGGATGGGGGGTGGGGGGGGGATAGGGGAGGGAGAGAGAGAAAGAGAGAGATTCTGAAATGAAATAAAATCAGATTTCATATAATGGGAACACTGTGTGCGTGGCCAGTCAAATCTCCCATTATCGCTCGCAGCTTTTGGATGGTTGTCTCAGTGGGGGGCTACAGACCCCAGCACAGCTTACACCTCACACAGAACCAATCTCTTCTCAGCTGGAGCTCGCTCACACACTCTCTCTCTTTGAAACAAGTAAAAACAAAACAAAAAGCATGCATCTATCCCTTTAATACACTGAAAAAAACTACTTGTAAGATTTACTTAATAAAATCCTCGTAACAATTTGCACAAGTAAATTTTAAGTAAATTTTACTGCTATAATATTAAGTACAACTCGCGTGCCATTATCAAGTAAAATCTACTTAGTATTGAACAAAACTCTCATGAAGAAATTAAGTAAAAAAATACCCATTTACATTTCATTTAGAAGCTATATCTATTTAAAGTAATTAAGTAAAGTTTATTTATTGTTTTTAAATTAGGAAGCTCGCTTTTATGAAATTTTTAAGTAAATCTTACCATTTAATGAAGTAAAATAAGTAGATATTACTTAAGTTTTTTTGTTGAGATTTTCATTTACTACATATTTAAACATTTAAACATTGATAATTTCTTTTTTATAAATAATCATGAACATAAATAAATAATCATTTTCTCAATATTTTTCACAAATCACACAACTAAAATTCAATTAAACAGTTTATTTTTCAGTCATCAAAAATGTTCATACAAGAATGGACATTCAGTCATCTCTTGACACAGGTGCATTCAGTAAAACTGTCTTTACGGTATTGCTGCTTCCAGCATTTCCTTCCCTTCTAAAAGGATGGATACATCGATTGGATCTTCTCCATCAGCACCACGAACGACCAGTATTTTAATGCTGTGCTGAGTGATGTCACTGCCGCTGTCCTCCTGCATACAATTTAGAAGAAAAAATATAATTCTTTTGAGAAACAAAAATATAATGGCTTAAATTATTTTATTTGACTTGCATTAAAGGACAAGTTCGGTATTTTACAATTAAAGCCCTGTTTTAAGATCGTCCCTGATGAAATAGAATAGTTAAGATTGTTTTTTAGACAGATGTTACTGTCACGAGAATTTTTGGATTCTGTGTTAGCACCCCCCCACCTTTATAATGAAAGCATAGGTCCACTCGAACAATCATTCATTAAAACGCATAAAACTTTAGTTTACAAAGACGTGAAACTCACCGAGTGGTCTGGGGTGTTCACTGATATGCTCGCACAAAAATCGCTGTAAAAGATGCTTTCCAACAGGTTTTATCGTAGTTTTTGTCCAAGTCCATTTTCTTCCTGTTTTTGGTCGAAATCCACAGTAGTCAATTGTCGAGTTTGCGTGCGCGATCCTTAGTTATCTAGTTCGAGTTTGCGTGCGCGATCCTTAGTTATCTAGTTCGAGTTTGCGTGCGCGATCCTTAGTTATCTAGTTCGAGTTTGCGTGCGCGATCCTTAGTTATCTAGTTCGAGTTTGCGTGCGCGATCCTTAGTTATCTAGTTCGAGTTTGCGTGCGCGATCCTTAGTTATCTAGTTCGACCGAAAACAGGAAGAAAATGGACTTGGACAAAAACTACGATAGAACCTGTTGGAAAGCATCTTTTGCAGCGATTTTTGTGTGAGCATATCAGTGAACACCCCAGACCACTCGGTGAGTTTCACGTCTTTGTAAACTAAAGTTTTATGCGTTTTAATGAATGATTGTTCGAGTGCACCTATGCTTTCATTATAAAGGTGGGGGGGTGCTAACACAGAATCCAAAAATTCTCGTGACCGGAGCATCTGTCTAAAAAACAATCTTAACTATTCTATTTCATCAGGGACGATCTTAAAACAGGGCTTTAATTGTAAAATACCGAACTTGTCCTTTAAAGACACCGTTAATATAGTCCAAATGACTACAGTGGCTCAATCTTAAATTTATCAATGGACGAGAATAGTTTTTGAGTGCAAAAATTAAAATAAAATAACGGCTTTATTCCACTATTCATTTCCTTCTCTCTGGGCCTTGAGTTTTTTCATGTAGTGTAATAGCGCAGCGTGTCTGTCCTGCACGTCACCACGTTAACTCACTATTGGCCGACACTGGTCATGTGACGTACAACACAGATGTGCTACGCAGTTATACTACGTAAAAAGACTCTGTAGAGAAGCCCACAGAGAAGGAAATGAATAGTGGAATAAAGTCATTATGTTTGCGCACAAAAAGTATTCTCGCCGCTTTATAAACTTAAAATTGAGCCACTGCAGTCACTGCATGACTACTTTGATGATGTCTGTATTACCTTTTCTGGACAAGGACGGTATATCATACATACATTTTATTTTGAAGAAAATGGGATATCAAACAGTTGACTGTAGCCATTAGAAATCTACTATGGAAGTCAATGGCTACCGTCATTTGATTACCAACATTCTTTTAAAATATCTTTGTTTGTGTTCATCAGAAGAAATAAACTCACAACGGTTTGGAACAACTTGAGTGTAAACAATGTTTACACAATGTAAACAATGACAATTTTTATTTTTGGGTGAACTATCCTTTTTAGGGTGCTATAAACTGGAGTGCAGTTTTCTGTGAAATAAATTTGACTGTTTAACCTTTCACACGCAACTTTAAAATATTCTAGCTGACCACCCAGTGTGCGACTTTCATTTTAAAATATATCTCCTTATTATTTCCATGGCGACGTTTCGTGATTGTGAAAATGAAAATGATGTCATTAATGACTCACCCTCATGTCGTCCCGAGCCCGTCAGAACTCTGTTCATCTTCAAAACACAGTTTATCATCTTCTTTATCGTCAAAGTAGAGAATGAGGCTGCGGATAACTGATTCCCATCTCAAGGCTTTGTGTCTGTGAACAGATTTATATTGTACCATTACACAACCTTTTATTCATACACAATGAACTCAATGAAATCAAGTGAGAACACAAAAGCATTAATGCGCAAGGAACACTGATTTGAGTACTTAGAGCAAAGTGACTCTACTTCCTGTTCCTGTCTGCCTTGCATTTTGGCCAAAGCAGAACTGTCGCTGAAACTCTATCATCTTCACTACAGATTCTTAATATTTGAAATTTAAGTTGTAATTTATGACTAAAATTCTAATTACTGAAATTTCAGAACTTTTGACTTTTGTCTGTTTAATACAGTAAAGCTACTTTAATGCAATCTATATTGTATTAAAAGCTATACAATAAATGTACATGCATGTATGAGAAATACATTAAGTATATCTTATTTAAAAAAATGTGAACAAGCACACTTTTGATCAAACACACCTGACTCAGTTTGTCCAGAAATGGCCTCAGTTGGTCCCCACAACACCTCCCATGGCCTTCATCAGGGCAATAAGTCTTGATGTGCATTGGTCAAGTCTGAACATGAATCTCTGCCCCATGATCGATTCTCCTGAATTCCTCCTTGATCTAATGTGACAAAATGATTCAAGAGAACAACAGCAGAAATTTGGTTAAATAGACTGATGCAGGGAGCAAGGGTTAATTATGTACAAGGACTGTAGATATCAACAGTGGAGTGAACAATCCAGTACTTTCTTTTGTAATGTGCAAATCCAAAAGAGAAACACTAATTTGGCAATTCAATTTTAACTTTGAGTTTAGTATATTTCAAGTTTATTTATTTTTTCATGTGCTAAATCAATTACTGTTGCCAATATTAATATTGCCCATGATTGCCACTCACGATCTCTGCAATAAACTTAACGCAGCCGCAGGATGCTTTTAGAAACGCAGCCCTGCTTATTTTGAGACCTCATTAATGCACGATTTAGTGCGATTTAAAAAAAAAAATAGCTTTACGTTCCATCCTGAGCAATATTCAGCAAGAGCATTCAAACTTTTCCAGTCAACAGTATAACGTTACTTCAGCAGGAGAGCGGTTGACATTAAATTGTTCATTTAAGGCCCAATTTTAGCTAGTTAGCAGTTAAAACGGTAAATATTGTCTACTAATTTCTACTTAGTTGGACATTTTTACATGAAAAACAGTGCTTTGTGAATCTATAAAACTACTGAAAACTTTTCCGATTAAATGTAGGAAGTGAAAGGGTTAACGTGGATAACCGACACGCGTTGCACTATGAGGCCATGTTATAAGATGAGCATTAATGTTTATTGAGTCAAATAAACAAGAATCATCAATCAAAACCCACACAGACCCATGTATTAAATGTAAAACAGAAAGACAAACTTACCTCAAACACGACAGAAAGCAGCCACGCAGCAGCCCGCCAATTCGTCTCAGATCCAAAGTGCGCAGTTAGACTGTCTTGTCCAAACGCGCATGTGCGGATTCAAACGCGCTATGCTTTTCGATTAAAATTTACTTAAAATTACTATGTTTATGTGAAGTGACTATAAAACGTTTAAATATTACAAGCAAATATATAATAAGATTTACTCTTTCCAACCAGTTAATTTATTACATGAATTAAACGCGTAGATATTTAAAATTTTACTTAGAAAATTCTAGTTCACATTGAATTTTAATTTTATTAAGTAAAAATTATGATGATTCATTTAATATATATTACTACACCAAAAAGTTCGTTTTTACAGTGTAGCATTCAGCACTCTAATAGTTCTTATTAGAACCCAGCAAGAGAGAGGAAATGGGGTAAGACATCCCTCCAGGACTGTGAATTAAAACTCTCCATCTCTTTCATTCACCCACTCTACTTCTATTGTATCCTTCCATCGGTCCGTCTCTCATTCTGCCTTTTCTTTCACATTTCACTCTCTTTTTCGCGATTGGACGTCATATACATTTTTGAAAATTAAAAAAAAAAAAGGATTTTGCTCCTGTAAGTCTCTGGGGAAGAGAACGAGATAAAAGCCGGAAGAAAATAATGCATACAGGTGCATGGAGAACAAAAGGATCAAAAGATAAGATGTCAGTGTGGGTGGTGTGTGTGCGAAAGGAGGACGTTTGTGTTGATGTGCTGTGCAGGCAAAAGAACACTGTATGCGTGTACAAATGTCACATAAGAATGAGGTCGAGACTGTTTACAAGAGACACATTGTGAACGTCATTACAGAGAAAAAGAGAGGGAGGGGAGTCAATAAAATAGGAATTAAAAGAAAAGAAGCACTACGAACTGCTACTGAGCTGATGAATGCCATTAGAGTGTTGTTAATATGTGAGGCTGAAATTTTAAAGTCACCAACATGAAATCAAAAGTGGCCCATATTTAAATGGTCTGGTCTGAATGGGCACGATTCATTAGTATTCCACTTTAAAAAATGTTGTTTTCTTCCAGTCCCAAATTATTAAATTTCAGCCTCTCTTCTCCAAAAATCTGCCTTCATTATGATATTGTAGGGTCAGTTTTCTCCACCCAATCACTTAAATTAGTAATGTCTCTGACAAAGCCAATTATACAGAGACATTATTAATAAAAAAATAATAAAATAAAGTCCCATATGCAGTAGGGAGAACAAGTATTTGATACACTGCTGATTTTTCAGGTTTTCCCACTTACAAAGCATGTAGAAGTCTGTCATTTTTATCATAGGTACTCCTCAACTGTGAGTGATGGAATGTAAAACAAGAATTCAGAAAATCACAGTGTATGATTTTAAAAAAAAAACAATAATTTGAATTTTATTGCATGGCATAAGTATTTGATACTTCTTGACCAGGTTTGCACATCTGCAGCAGGGATTTTGGCTCACTCCTCTTTTTTTCTATTTTCACTCCCTAATCTATTTTCTATCTATCACTCCCAATTTTCTATTGGGTTCAGGTCCGGAGACTGGCAAGGCCACTCCAGGACCTTGAGATGCTTCTTACAGAGCCACTCCTTAGTTGCCCTGGCAGTGTGTTTCGGGTTGCTGTCACACAGAGGGAAGGAGATTGTTGGTCAAGATCTCCCGATACATAGCCCCATCCATCATCCCCTCAATATGGTCCAGTCGTCCTGTCCCCTTTGAAGAAATGCATCCCCAAAGAATGATGTTTCCACATCCATGCTTCAGGGTTGCTATGGTGCTCTCGGGGTTGTACTTATCATCCTCCTTCCTCCAAACACGGCGAGTGGAGTTTAAACCAAAAAGCTTTATTTTTGTCTCATCAGACCAGATGACCTTCTTCCATTCCTCTTCTGGATCATCCAGATTGTCATTGGCAATTTTAATCCATGACGGCGTAATGTGTTACTAATGGTTTTCTTTAAGACTGTGGTCCCAGCTCTCTTCAGGTCATTGACCAGGTCCTGCCGTGTAGTTCTGGGCTGATCCCTTACCTTCCTCATGATCATTAATGCCCCACGAGTTGAGATCTTGTATGGAGCTCCAGAACAAGGGAGATTGACCATCATCCTGAACTTCTTCCAGTTTCTAATGATTGCGCCAACTGTTGTTGCCTTCTCACCAAGCTGTTTGCCTATTGTCCTGTAGCCCATCCAGGGCTTGTACAGGTCTACAATTTTATCCCTGATGTCCTTACACAGATCTCTGGTCTTGGCCATTGTGGAGAGGTTGGATTCTGTTTGATTGAGTGTGTGGACAGGCGTCTTTTATACAGGTAACGGGATCAAACAGATGCAGTTATTACAGGTAGTGGAGAACAGAAGGACCTCCTAAAGAGAAACTAACAGATCTGTGAGAACCGGAATTCTTACTGGTTGGTAGGTAATCAAATACTTATGTCATGCAATACAATGAAAATTAATTACTTGAAAATCATACGCTCTGATTTTTGAATTTTTGTTTTAGATTCCATCACTCACAGTTGAAGAGTACATATGATCAAAATTACAGACTTCTACATGCTTTGTAAGTGGGAAAACCTGAAAAATCGGGAGTGTATCAAATATTACATACATCAACTAATTTTCATTTCATGTAACTTGACTACTCGCAAAATATTAGATGTTGCCAAACAAATTACATCAGCCTCATAGCAGCAGTGATTAAAATAGAAATAGAAACACACACACACACACACAAAATGTTGTGGTCCAGCTCCACTGGGCCGTGATAGGACGGTCTATGATCTCTGGACTCAATCCCGGGTTAGAGGACGTCTCCTCCTGATCCATTCCACCATCTGCTGCTGGCCAGACAGAGCGCACCATCGGGAGAGAGAGAGAGAGAGGGACAGAGAGAGTGAGGTCGAAAGGCTGGAGACGGTAAAGCAGGAGGGAGGACAGAACGGGCCTGGGCAGGGCATGTGTGATCAGTAGGGACATGGGGTCGTCTGTTACCTGTCCACCTCCAACCTCACACCATCTGCTTGTGGGAGCAAAGGAGCAAGGAAAAGTGGAAAGAAAAAAGGGAGGCAGAAAAGAAGAATGAAAGAGTGAAAAGAAGGAAGGATGGTGGGATTTGTAGGTGTTTGTATAAGTGTACACAAACCTTTTTTTGTGGACTGACATCTAAAATGTGACACACACACACGGTATCACTTTACAATAAGGTCTCATTAGTTAAAATTATTTAAAGCATTAATATTAACTGACAATAAGCAAAACATTTGTCACAGTATTTATTAGTATTATTAAGTTTGTTAACGTTAGTTTTAAAAAAAAAAAACAGCTGTTCACTGTTCATATATTTAGCTCAGGTCCATTAAATAATATTAACAGATACAACTTTTGATTTTGTAATACTATATAATAAGAATATACAGTAGTAATAATAAAGTACTTACAAAGCATTTGCAAACTAATAGCTTATAGTTAATTCAGTTTATATATTGGACATTGTTAATATGAAGAGTTCAGATCCAAAAACCTCTAAGTGCCATTTGAAATTTTCTTGTAAAATGATCATTTTTATCAAGCGTATATATTCAAGTTCAGTAATGTCACTTAAATGACAATTAATAGGTAATCCTCATCGCAATTTAAGTGAAATTACTGAACTTAAATGTACAAGCTTGATACAAATGATCATTCTAGAAGAAAATTTCAAATGGCACTTAGAGGCTTTTTCATCTGAACTCTTCATATATTGATTGCCTATGTATAATGACTCCCTTTCACCTTCAGAACTGCCTTAATTCTACGTGGCATTGATTCAACAAGGTGCTGAAAGCATTCTTTAGAAATGTTGGTCAATATTGATAGGATAGCATCTTGCATCATGCACATCCACGAAGCTCCCGTTCCACCACATCCCAAATATGCTCTATTGGGTTGAGATCTGGTGTCTGTGGGGGCCATTTTTGTACAGTGAACGCATTGTCATGTTCAAGAAACCAATTTGAAATGATTCGAGCTTTGTGACATGGTGCATTATCCTGCTGGAAGTAGCCATCACAGGATGGTTACATGGTGGCCATAAAGGGATGGACATGGTCAGAAACAATGCTCAGGTAGGCCGTGGGCATTAATAATATTAACTTTAATTTATATAGCGCCTTTCAAAGGATGCTTAACAAACAACATGAGAAAGGGAAGGGGGAAATAAGATAGGGGCAAGAGGCCAGGGGAGCTAGAGCCCAAAAGCCTCAGTGAAGAGGTGTGTCTTATGCTGCCTTTTAAAGGTTGAAAGGGAGGAGGCAGAGCGAATCTCATGGGGAAGCTTTAAAAGATGCCCAATTGGGATTAAGGGGCCTAAAGTGTGCCAAGAAAACATCCCACACACCATTACACCACCACCTCCAGCCTGCACAGTGGTAATTGTACAGGTAGGGGAGCGCGGGGCACAACCTAACGCAGGGTTAAATGTAACACGGACCGTTTACATAGTTCGTCAGGATCAAGCAGGTTGTCTTTCCGCTATTTTTCTCTTGCTGCCAGAAGATGGTCTCCCGCGAATTTGCGGAAAGTTTTGATCATATTTCGTGAAGATACTGGACAAAGAGTGTTTTGACACCATGAAAGTAATTTTTTTTTTAATCATAGGTTTTTTTTGGGTTTGAGTTGGGTGTATACGTTTCCAAATCTAACTTTATATTGCCTAAATCACCGTCTTGTTGGCTCAAACATAGCACCATTTTGAAACATGTCAGCAATTCCTAGCGACTGTTAGCTAGGCTTAAAATATGTAATACACAGCGGGGTTCGTTGTAACAGAGTGTTACAACTAAGCCGCCAAGTGTACAATGATAATCCAATGAAAACGGAGCCACACAACTTTTCGGGTTTGAGTATACATTTAACTTTGTTAGACTTTCAGAAACAATGTTGTAATTTAAAATGTTTAAAATTTAGTGTACTATGAATGATAACTTGTTTATTTATTAAAAATATGGCCTGTTTTAATGCATTAAAACCCTTTATTACCCATTTTTATTTTAAGCTCATCTGTATTATTATTACTGTTATTATTATTAATAATAATAATT